CGTTAATTACGTTCCCTTAAGTAAAAATAAAAAAAAAAAACTTAAAAAAAGAAACGAACTTATCATAGTTCGTTCTTTTTTTAAATCCTGGTCGTTAATGGCTTCGTCCACGTCCAGGTTTTCTAAAAAAAAAAGAAAGGGAACGTTAATTACGTTCCCTTAAGTAAAAATAAAAAAAAAACTTAAAAAAAGAACGAACTCACTATAGGTTCGTTCTTTTTTTTTTAAATCCTGATCGTTAGGCTTCGTTCGTCCAGCTTCCTAATAAAAAAGAAGGGAACCGTTAATTAAGTTCCCTCAAGTAAAAATAACAAAAAAAAAGAAACGAACTTACCTAGTTCGTTCTTTTAAATCTTGGTCGTCCGGCGTCCGTTCGTCCAGGAAAGGGTTTTTAAAAAAAAAATCTGATCCAAAATCTGTTCAGATCGGATCAGATTTTTTTTAAATCCGATCTGATCTACAGATCAAAATTTTGAAAACCGTACCGATCTGGCTCGGATCAAATCTGTGGATCCCAGATCAGATCAGATTTTTTTCGGAGCACTAATATTGATAGTGATTTGCATCATGTTTGTTTTGGATTTGATAAGACTCTGGAAACATTTGGAGTAAGATTTATTAAAGAAAATATAAGTGGAAATGTTATTAATAAAAAAAATCTTAAAAATCAAATAAAAGCGTCTCAAAATGAAAGAAAAAGAATAGATCTTTTAATAAGTGAGTATTTCAATGATAATTCAATTTCACATAGTGAAAAAACAATAAAATCACGTTAAGAATCTTTATGGAAACTTGTTAATGACCTGGTAGTAGTAATATTTGAAATGGATGATCTATTATCCCACCAATTATTTCAGAAATATCCACCTACAGAAATGAACCAAGAGGGGCTTAATCGTTTTATAGCATGTTATCCAAATGGATTAGAAAAAATCAAAGAGATATATTGATAGGAAGTTTTAAAAATAGAAAGCAGAAATACTAAAGGTAGGAGAATGGTAGGAGTAGTTATGATGAAAGTTAAAGATTACAATAGTAATAAAAAACAATCTACTACTGGATCTTTACAATTATCATAAAAAAATACAGATGAAAATTTGGATCAACCCACATCTAATACAACTAAGCCACAAAAAAAGCATCAAATTACTGAAAAGGAGACGAAAATACTTTCTGTATTGAAAGTATATACAGTCAACTCTCTTTATAGTCACACATTTGGGACAGTTCATATTTGGTGATTATAAAGAGATGTGACTATATAAAAAATTTCTTATATTAGTATATCATAATTCCGGCTAAAAATTAACATAATTTTAGCCAAAATTATACTCAAAACTTTATTGTATCGTAACTCCGCCAATATTAATC